AATGTTCCCCATCCTGAAATGTAAATTTTGTAAAACCGTTTATTTTCTCTGTGCTGGTAAAAAGAACTGTCCTTGGTAATTTTTGACTTGGCTTGTCTTCCAAAATCAGGGGAGCTAATTATTCTTCAAAGTTAATTGATTTAAATCAGTGCTTTAGTTATTTCAATTGCATGCCTTTGTCAAAAGTCATATCACTATGCCCCAGGCAAGACTACTTCTAGAAAAGAAAAGGAAGAAATACGTCCATTATTTAACCAGCTTGATCTATTTACTCTTTCTTTCTTTCCACATTTTTTCTATACATGGGTTGCATCCTGATGTATAGTAATTATCCATTAAATGTGATATAAAATCTTTTTCATTTTTATTTAAATTTCTCTGCTTTCTTTTCCTTTTTTTTAAAACACTTAAGACTGATTAAAATGATGGAGTTGTAATCTGTAGCTTCTGATCCTGTGCCTCATTGGTGAACCTACTTTGTGTCGACACAGCCTGAAAAGATGTTTATGTAGGATCCTAACCTGTGCAACAAGATGCAGTCTTGGACTGACCAGGTGGCCGACACCTTTAATCCCAGTGCTAGGCGACATTCAAATACCTGAGACGCATCCCTGGCACGTGACATACTATTTTGATGAATTGAAATCAGTTAGAAGCCAATAAACAGCCAAGACAGCGCTGGGAAAAAAAAATAAATTGTGCATACCACTGGCCACATTAGTGATGTGGAAATACTGGGGTGTCTTTGAGAACAACAGGGCCTTTCTCAAAGGTCAGGATCCCAGAAAGTAGAATGGCCACCAGAGTGGTCCCAAGCCAGTGGCTTTCAAATTCTTGCCTAGCAAACTTAAAGAGTGAACTTTGAGAACCACAGAGGGTAAGTTTTAGGGACAAATTTGTTGTAGATTCATAGCAGGCACTTAAGAAAAAGTGAACACAGAGCTTCTGTATAACAGGAAGGGTGTCTACAGGTGGGCTACCATCAAGCTCCTAGCTCTGGGCACCTTTTAAAAGAGCTTATGGTAGACACTGGGCTGAACCATAGGGAGAGAATGAGCTAGACAGTTCAAGTGACCCAGCCATGAGGTGTGGAGATTCTGCCCCATTTCAGTCACATTTTCACATACAGCTTCCAGACAAGGGAAAAAGACAACAAGGAACCAGGAACTAGTATCCCCAGCCCACACCAAGAACATTTTCTGCACTGCTCTTTGGGGTCTCTGCCCTACCTGACCAGTTTCTATCTCCTCGTCTCATCATTGCATGGATGAGTCATGTCCTCACTTTGGGCCTGCTTTTCTGGATAAGTGAGAGCAAGGGCCAAGTATAGAGGGAGTCTCTATGAGGCAATAAGTAATTTATTCCATTTGTACTGGACACATGAACAAGAAAGAAAGAAAGAAAGAAAGAAAGAAAGAAAGAAAGAAAGAAAGAAAGAAAGAAAGAAAGAAAGGAAGGAAGGAAGGAAGGAAGGAAGGAAGGAAGGAAGGAAGGAAG